GCCATGGGGGCTTCTCCTGTGGCTCCTTTGGCTGTGCCTGCCTCTGCCCCAATCTGGGGAGCTACGGGGGCTATGCCCCACTGCTGCCTGCCCAGCTGGTGTCAGGGGTGGGGGGTGTGATGCAGGCACGGCTCGCTCTGGGCAGCAGCAGGGCATAGCCCCTGCTTCCAGCGCTGTCACACACACATCAGTGCTGGGAGTGGGGGCTCTTCCCTGCTGCCACTTGCCAGCTGACCTGGGGGGTGTGGGATGTGGGTGCAGCAGTGCTGGGAGTGGGGACTGTGTCCTGCTGCCGCTTGCCCCCTTCTGCCTGGAGAGAGCCCTCCCTCATCCCATCCCCCTGCCCCAACCCTACATCCAGTGCTGCCATGCCTGCAGCCCCCACTTCCAGTGCTGCCATGCCTGCATCCCCTGCTCCCCTCCCTCAGTAATGCACCCCCTCCACCCCAGCTGGGCAGCTTGCCCCAGCCCCAACCCTAGCCTCAGCCCCAAACCCTCCCTCCCCCATGCCCCTTTCCTCCCCCAATCCCAACAGATTTACCAGCTGGAAGCAGCTGTCAGCTGCCTGTTTAGTCTATGGCCAAATCTCCAAATCGGCTAAATCTTTTCTGAAGCTTTTACGAATCGATTCGGATGCTTCAAATTGATTCGGAGCTTTTACTTGGTCTCCTGATTTGATTCAGATTTGGAGATTCAGTCCCCGAATCGGGCCAAATCTCTTCCGAATCAAATCAGCTACCAAAGCTTCACACAGCCCTGCTGCCAAGTTTTGTGTCCTGAACAAAACCTTGCTGGATGGGAGAGGACTCTGGGTACTGAAAACTGGATGGCAGGGGTATTTGGTTAAGTGGGTCAATTTTACTTGCCCCAGGCACTCAATGACTCTGCCTGCTGCTGATGCATCTCTAGCTGCCCACCCTCAGCTGCTGCTGCTGCTGCACCCCAGCTCAGTGACCGACCGCAAGGGGACCCCGGGTTCCCCTCCAGACCCAGGAGGCACTGGTTGCCGAGCCAGGGGACACTCCATCCACTCCACCATCTCAACGTTCATGAGCTGCACCTGGTACCTCGAGGTACGTAGAAAAAACATATAAATCTGTGTCTATGGAGGCTTCCGATTCAATTCAGAGAGATTAATGGGTCTCCTGATTTAGTTTGGATTTGGAGATTCAGCTGCTGAATCCGGCCGAATCTCCTCCGAATCATATCAGAGACTGAAGCTCTAGCATGGACAGGTCAGCTATGGTCTGGAACAGACAGCTTTGAGGGGAAGCAAACCTATAAGCCAGAATGGAGGAGATAACTTAGACTGATGTTTATATGATATCAGTTTTGACATAGTCTTTTCAGATGCCTATACGCGTGGTCTGGGGTAAGGGCTCTCAGGAGTTGTTCTAATTAAAATGCCATAGCGTCTTGTGTATTCATCATCCTGAGTTTCAAAATGGCTGCAGGGGCACTTTAACTAAAGCTCATCAATGAGTGCCTCCTCTGCCACTTTGAAATGTGAGATGCTTAATACATGAGATGTGTAGCAAGCTTGATTAATCGAGTCTACTCCAACCTGTTCTAATTAGAATGCATTGAAGCATGTGTATAGGCACCCTTCTTTTTGCTCACATGTGTGAAGTGATATGGGTTTTCCAGAAAATATTGAATTGGAAAAATTTCCAGAAAATATTCCAATGCTCTAAATAGAGCATGATCGATTTAGCATGTTTATTTGACTTATATTTAGTAAACAAAACTAAAAAATATTAATTTTAGGTCCTAATAGCCACAAGTATTTGAACTGAAATATTTGTTTAGGAAAAAAATTAAACACAGCACACTTAATGTGGTTTAAATGTTATATTAAAAAAATTCAATGCTTTATGTGAAAAGAAATTATATTTATTGGAATACTTGTAAAAATGCAAAGACAATACACAATAACATGTACTTCCCTTACATTGTTTGTTTAAATTTAAGGAAAAAACCGAAGGCACTGAAAACTGTTGACACACTAATTTTAGCACACCCAAAGAACTGTGCATGATACGCAGTGGTTGTCCACTTATCTACTTCGACAGAGTTTAACTCTCTTCCACTGAGATTATTGTGGCACCTCC